CTAGAGGATTTGGATGTGCACTCAAGGTTGAGAATCACTGCTTCAGAATACAAAGTGCTTTTTCACATATTATCCACGGTTTGTACACCTAAAAAGGGGAAAAGGAAACTTGCAATGCCTGTTGACTGTGTAAGGAAGAGGAAGAGAAAGAGTAGTAATTGTGAAAGTGAAAGGATGGCAGAAAAATAAGTTTCCAAAAATTGGAGGAAAAGCCTTCACCCGTGTAGGGCTAAAATTAGGGATGTTATCTAGCAATCCATTGAGTGTAGAAGATGAAAGAGGAGTTGTGTGGCCAAACTTGCTGCTCTGTATGGATTGTCCCTGAGATGACAACAAAATTCCCTACCCAGAGTCCGAAAAACAGTCATCTAACATTTGATGTCTACTAGTTCCTAAAGCCCTTTTGAGTCCACTCTATAAATGAGAAATATTGGAGAAAGGAAAAACATTTGTTGATATTCAAAAAGTATGTTAGAAAAATATCATGTTAATATTTCCATGTCCATTTTGGGCTGTGCACATGATCTGCGTGTATAGACAGAAAATGTGCCTCCACCGTGATCCTAACAGCCTTTAATAATTCCTCAGATGAGCGTGCACATTACACCCTTGCTTATAGCTGAAGGAGAAGTAGAGCCAACCCTGGGCTCTCAGGATAGACAGAGATCACAAGTAGTCAGAGAGGCAGGCAGGAGAGAGAGGAGGAAGCAGGTTCCCTGCTAAGCAGAGAGCCCCACGCGGGGCTCGATCCCAGGTTCCTGGGATCATGACCTGAGCCGAAGGCAGAGGTTTTAACCCACTGAGCCACTCAGCGCCCCAGGATATCGAGTTTTAAGATTTTAGAAGGGGTGATGACAAAGCTTCGGCTGTGACCAAGAAAGTGAGTGGCAGCTGCTGTCAACAAAGTAGAGGCTAAGCTACCTTCTCTCTGTCAACCAATAGATGAAGAGGGACAGTACTTGAAGTGCAGAAAAGAAAAACCTTCCAGACCCTAAATACCTAAGATCAGGAGTTCCAATTAGTGATGCCTCCTCTCTCCAGTTCCTAATTCACAGAGAATGGTTAATAATAACAGTAATAGTCATTCAGCACTTCCTACATGTCAGCGCTGTTCTAAGCACCTTGCACATGACTTTTGTGACCAGAGGCACTATTAGTCCCATTTCACAGATGAGGAGACAGACATGGGGTAAGCAATTTGCCCAATACGGGTTATAAATGCTGGGGGAGAATTTGTAGACTGGGTTAGAGTGAGAAAATATTTTATGGAAAGTTAAGTCCAGGAGGAGGTCTGCCCGTCCGGGTACACTGTACATCAGCAGATGTCGGGCTTTGTGTGGAGACCTGGTGAGAGATGAGTCTAAAATGACACACTGGGGCCATATTGAAGACTCCTGAACAACAGTGCTCAGAGTTGGAACCTGATCTGGGAGGGAGGAAGGACGAAGAGACAAAATCAGCACTGTATCTTGAGATGATTAACTTTCGAACATGAACAGATTGGAGAGAGGCTGGAATGGAAGGGATTATATTATATTAGGGTCTTTTCGGTCCTGATTATGTGACAGATAATGAGTGTATGAACAAGGAGGGGTGTCAGTTGAAGGTTTGATATATGTTGCAAAAGTGAAACGTAAAGTTTTGCTAACTGGGTGGATGAAGAGTGGGGGTGGGGGCAGAATCTAAATAGAATCCAAGGTGTTGAGTTCAAGTCACTGAACTGTGGGCAGAAATTCAGAAGAGTCACTTTGTGGGGTAAGAGGGACAGCACGAGCAGGTGGACTCTGAAATCTGTTATCTGTTGTGGGAGCGGGCCATCAAGGTGGGAGACCTCAGCAGGAAATTGGAAACAAATTTGGAACTTAGAAGAGTTTGAGCTTGAAATGAAGCTTTTGGTGTCATCCACACAAAAGCGCTATGATAAACCTAGGAAGTGGATAAAACCCCTGGAGGGGGAAAGGAAGTAAATAGAGAACAGATCCTTGGGAAATACTTAAGTTTGGGGACAAGGAAGAAGAGAAGCCAGCAAAGGAAAAAGAACAAGAGTGGTTAACAGATAGGAATGTCTAGAAGTATGCATCACAGAACATAAGGGGATGGAAGGTTCCAGAATAAAGCTAGGGGTGAGTGAAGATGCGTGAAGGGGTGAGTGAAGAAGGTACTGCCAGGTGGTAAAGCAAAAATAAGCAGCAAAAATACTTTCCATGGCAGAACTTACAGCAGGAGGAGCTCCTAAATTTCTTCGAACCTTGTCATAAAACTGACAGGCAGGAGCAGCTCCTGGAGCTGCCCTCCCTAACTCCCATGCAGTAGTTCTCATAGAAATAAGGCAAGGGGTCGTTAACAGAGGCTCTTCCTCCTCTTCTGGTGGAATGCATTAGTTTAATGCATGCATCCCAGGCCAGAGGGGGAGAGGTAGTTCTATCAACAGTCTTATAAAGTAAAATAACTTCCATCAACTCTAGGGAGAAGAAATTTTGCTAATGAATCTGGGCTGTAAAGCATTAGGATTTTCTTTGTATATGGACTATTAGCAGATTGCATAATTTGTAATTATTCTATGTGCAGGAGAGGGGAGGGCATTTTTATTCCATGTATTGAAAAGGAGATAGTTAAATGCACTCAGGCCTGAATGTGACTTAACTCACTCTGTATGAGGCAGAAGCTTCCCAGAGGAGGAGAAAACAAGTGGAAAAGCAAAAATACTGATGGTGGTTAATGAGTGACAGCAGTTTTGACTGCTGTAGGTAGGCCTGGGTAGGACAATGCCATAAAACATTTTGCAAACAATCGGCTCCATTGTCCTGTCCTCTCCTGTCCAGGGGTGGCACTGGACATAGGACATCAGAAAGGAAAAGAGGAAATGGAGAGGGGAACAAAGAGACAGAAACTGAGTGTTCCTTGGGAATATACACAGCCATCCCTCTTCTGAGGGATGGCTGGGCACCACGCATGTCCCTGTGTATCCAGAAATGGTCTCTGGGGCCCCATCGCTGTCACATTGCTGCACAACCCTGGGGCACAGAGAAGAGCATTGGAGGTTGTTAGCACATCTCCCTCCGGAGATGAGACTGGGCTTGGCACCAGCAAGAGAATACCAGAGGAAATTTGTCTCTTCTCCGTGCCTGGGTAATGACTATTCCCTGAGACCCAGGGAAGAATTAAGTTCATTGTGGGCCTCGCACTGTATCACACACTCTATCCTGAACAGCTGGGCTGTTCAGTATAATTTAAAAAGAAGGGAGAACTGGCTGTTCACCATCAGTGTGTAATGTATTCATAATAAATCTCTCAATGAGGAGGTAAAAAGATTTCCCATTTCTGTACAGGCCAAAGGAAGCAGAGCATTAGGCAAGTATCCTGTGAGTCTCATTAACAGAGACAACCAATACAGAAAATCCAGGGGGATTTGCTCCATATTTCTATTAGTAATGGCAATTGTTGTTTTTTACCTGAAATATGCTAGTAATTTTCTCGCTTGCAAAATTGACTTTGCCTAAGGATTAATAAACATGCTTTTTCTTAATAGTTAATGAGTATCCTCCCTTTTCTAGAGGCTACATACAAATAAAACATGGCTGGTCGCCTCCTGTTTTTCTTCTTTTGCTCTATTTCTGAGAAGATTGATTTATTTTAAAGAACATGGAAATTATATGTATTTAAAATTAAGTCAAAAGAATAATTGATAACAGCCAGCTAGTAGGAATTAAAAAAATTGTTTCTAAAATGGGAAGTCTTTAAGAACGGAGCTGGTTGGGTCGGAAAGAGGGCAGTTTCCACCTCGATTTACGTAGAATCCCCAGTGTCAGAGCCAGTCATAGAGCTAAGCAGGTAATAAGGGCTGTCGCTACACAGAAACCAAACACAGAAACCAATGAATGATATTTGTTAAAGATCATTTTCACCTTGAGTTACTACTACTGAAGTGTTTTCTCATCATAGTTAGAACTGTGTCTCTCATGGTGTCCTAAACTTTATAACAATAATATCACCTCAGTGCCTGGGAGGATAACTACCCTCTTTTCTTTCAGGCAGAGGAAAAGAACCCATATTTGACCATTTAAAGGCAGATTTGGCTTATTAAGATATGTGTCCAAAACGAAGGCCATCTAAGTAAGCTGTATTGAGCTCTTAAAAATGATGACCTGATTTGTCAAGAAGTCATTCCTACTGACTCAGGTTTTCACAATAGTAAAATAGTGTATGTACAATAGCATAAAAAATAGTATACGTAATAGCAGTTGATTTCTAAAAATCTGCCTTTCCTAGAATGTAAACGCCTGTCCCAGAATTACTGAGCTAGATGCGGGGTTCTCCTCTTTGCTTCCTCTTTGATCTCTGTCTGTCACATAAATAAATTAAAAAAAAAAAAAAGAGAGAGACACTTGGGCAACCTCCAGTTTGTCTTACTATGAATATTCTGTAGCAAATATCTTTGTTTTCCCAACATTAATTTGTTTCCCCAGAAGAGCGTTCCTGAAATGAAATTACTAGATCAAGTGGTATGAATATTTTAAAGCTCCTCTTTCCAAACCCGTTTCTTTCTTTCTTTCTTTCTTTTTTAAGATTTTATTCATCTATTGGACAGAGAGAGAGATCACAAGTAGGCAGAGAGGCAGGCAGAGAGAGAGGAGGAAGCAGGCTCCCTGCTGAGCAGAGAGCCCGACGCGGGGCTCCATCCCAGCACCCTGGGACCATGACCTGAGCCGAAGGCAGAGGCTTAACCCACTGAGCCACCCAGGTGCCCCCAAACCCGTTTCTAAGGAGCTTTCCAAAAGGGCATTTAGTCATTCACCTCACGCTAGTCGTCTGTGAGAATTAGAGCCGGTACTTCAGGCCTACCAAGCTGCTAATAAGACTACCTTACTTTAATTTGTGCTTCTTTCTAGTCTAGCAAGCTTGAAAATTTATGCAAGTATTTGCTGACATTTTTGTGTGTGTTTGCTAGTTTTTTGCCGCTTCCTGATGGGCGGGTTCATTTTTCCCAGCTCTGGTCTCACCTGGTTCCCCACCTTTGTTGCTCTCCACGCAGGCTCCCATGACTCGTTCAGCTACTGGGTCGATGAGAAGTCCCCGGTGGGGCCTGACCAAACCGCAGCCATCAAACGCCTGGCCAGGATCTCCTTGGTGAAGAAGCTCATGAAGAAGTGGTCCGTGACGCAGAACCTGAACTTCCGAGAGCAGCTGGAAGCCGGGATCCGCTACTTCGACCTGCGCGTGTCTTCCAAACCCGGGGATGCCGACCAGGAGATCTACTTCATTCACGGACTTTTTGGCATCAAGGTCTGGGACGGGCTGATGGAGATTGACTCATTTCTTACCCAGCACCCCCAGGAGATTGTCTTTCTGGATTTCAACCACTTCTACGCCATGGATGAGGCCCACCACAAGCGCCTGGTTCTCCGAATCCAGGAGGCCTTTGGAAACAAGCTGTGCTCTGCCTGCAGTGTGGAGAGCATGACACTGCGAGCCCTGTGGGAGAAGAAGTGCCAGGTGAGAGGAGACAGACCCGCTTGCAAGGGCAACAAGGCTCTTTCTGCCTTTTCAGTCGGAAAAGGCAGCTCACCCCAGGGCGCTGAGGCTAGAAGGCAAAACAGATACTCCCTGGGTCCTGGACTCTCGGATAGCTTCAGACTCAGATATACCCACTAGTTCTGGGCACCCATGAACGGGGATTAACACCTGCCAGACAGTTACGATTGATTGGGCAGCCTGTTGGAAGTATCTGAGTTAGAGCGGCCTGGCCAGAACCAGCCCAGGGCAGCTTCATGAAATTGGAACCCCTGGTGATTGCCCTTTTTTTTTTTTTCCTTCTTATCTCCCCTGGAATCCCTTTTCAGGCTCCTAGTTACCCCCTGAGGGATGGGGAGACCATCCAGCCTTTAACTCACTGTCAGATAATCCCTACATTAGCTGACAAAAGCTAACTGACATAAGCATGGGAGTGATTCATCTAAGAGCTGTTAATATTTGAAAAGGCTATTTTAACACATTTGGGGGCCTGGCTTGAGAGACTGAAGGAAGAGCCCAACAGGGCTGAGAGCTGTCCCAGGTTCCTTAAGCCTGGAAGAAACCCCAAAGCGAGGCCTTGAGGGGCATACTCAGGAAAAGGAATGTGGGCCTCAGATACATGCTGCTGGGATCCGACAGGATGAGACGCTGGGGGAGAGGGGAGCTTTGAGAAAGGTCAGCCTCCAGTTTAGATGCTCTTTAACAGAAGAAAGCAAGCAAGTCCCTTTCTTTCATAGTTGTTTGCTTACTCACAGGTGCCTTAACCAACGCATCTTAAAGAGGCAGCTATTTTTGAGCTTGGGGAAGACCTTTCAATAAAAATCAATTAAAGATTATTCACTTGCAAATATTCATGAACACCAGGTGTGTGCTGAACACTTGGGATAAATTAATAAATAAAACAAAGATCCTTGCCTTCATGGAGCTTTCATTCAGGTGTAAGAAAGAGACCGTAGATAATTGCCATAATAAATATATTACATAAAATGCTAAAAGTGATATAAGTGATGAAAACAGAAAGGAAGGGGGTCAGAGATCATGGATGATGGGGTGGGAACTCAGGCTTTCACTCTGAGCGAGGAAGGTTCTGTACCTGGTGCTGTGGCCTGAATTACATTGTAACGGGTCTCTGTGGCGGGTAGGAAGACAGCGAGGGTAGGAGGGCAGGGAAAGGAGGAGAACCAGTGAGGAGCATTTGCGGGGAAAGTGATCAGATTTGGAATCTATCAGAAGGTAGAACCAGCAGGGTTTTCCAATGGATGGGATTCGGGGCACAAAAGAAATGGGCTTCACGGATGACTCTCAGGTTTGGCCTGAGGAACTGGAAACCCCGGGTGGTTTTGCGCGCCTCTGAAAGGGCTAAAACCTTTGATGCCACAGAAGCTAATGAGTTAGATCTCAGGATCTATTAAAACTTACCTAAGCCACTTTTCCTCACTAAAACTTTGTAATGATGTTTGGCCAAATATTTATCACACCTCTGCTCCCAATCTGGCTAGATATCTTTTCAGACTCACAAGTCTAATTTGGAGATTTTTTTTTTTCCTCAGTGGAGTCTCTCTTACAATATGAGATAATAGGAATGACAAGGTCACCTTGATAGCTAACCTTTATTGAGCCTTTATACTGTGTTAGGTACATGGATTAGCACATTGAATCCTCTCCACAACACTGTGAGATAGGTGTTTTGTTACCCTCATTTTACGGAGGAGTAAACTGAGGCATAGAGAGACTAAGCAACTTGCCCGAGAGAACGTTCCTAGTGAGCGGCAGGAGCCGAGGTAGAGTCATTGGCTGTTTGCTCCCCACAGCTCCTGATGCTATCCCAGGGCCTTACCCTCATCTTGGTGGTTGTCACAACTAGGAGCATAGATCATTAAAATAAAAACCCCTTCTTTTTATTCATGAGCCCTTATTATCAGAGGGTCTCAGAGATTTCACAGAATGCTAAAGGGCTGTGGATCTGAAGAAGGGCTTTTGAATGTGTGATTCAGGTAAGGTAAAATCTCAGTATAGCTAAGTTTGTCAATCAGATATCTGTTATAAATATAGCTTTATAATTTTATGCACAGATAGTGTCCTGGGTGGACTGCCATATTGCACACCAAATTGTTTGGAAGTCTGCAGGAGTAACAGGTGTCTTCAGGAATAATGATGAGGGGGGACAGCGAATTTCTAGCAGCAGAGTGGTGAGCCATCCTTGCTTTTAAGTATGGACTAATCTGTGTCTTCCAACTACAGCTACTCCAAAAATTATGAAGGAGAGACTCTGTGATGACCTGTCAGAAAAAGGGAGAGTGTCATCCATTTGAATTCTAGGATCTCCCTGCTCTTGCTTTTCCCAAGTTTGCCCTGCCATGTCTCTTCTTAAAAGCTAAATGGAGACCTCACAGCCATCAGTGATCTACCTCCTGCTGGAGGCAGGGCCCTACTGGTGGTTAAACTTTAAACCTTCATTATGTAAAGAGCTGCCTCGCATGGGAACCCCCTGATTATTTTATCACTACAGTTTCATAGCAAGAAGTATACTACTTTTCAGTCAAATTTCATTTACTACACGTAACAATGACATCACAGCTCACTAATAGGTGTACATCATGGCTATGGGTTTTGAGGTACAATGAATTGGAAGACTTAATCTACGGTTTGGCAATATTTTGAATCTTAATGAAAAGGTAAGAGTCCTTAACACTCATAAAAAACAACCAATACACAGTTGCAAAGTAAAACTGCCTCAGATGTACTGTATAATGAAAGGGGTTTGTAAGCAATCAGTTGAAAAATAGTACCTAGCATAGATCTCTAGTCCAGGAGCCTCCAGGAAAGGACCCATCAGAATAAGAGGAAGTCAGTCAAGGAATAATTTTCAAAAGAAAGTAGATTTCAAATCTGAGTCTACGGAGAAGAACTGAACATCAGTTGCTGAGCTGGGTGGGGGAGAGTATTTCAGAGAAAAAGATGGCAGAGCAAGGCAGGGAGGCAGATGCAAAACACAGGCCCTAGGGCGGGAGTCACTGCCCCTACCCTCGGAATAACAGTTGGTTTGCTAGACCGAGGTCCTCGTGTAAACAGAACTCCTCCCGCTAACCCTGCGGTCAGATTGCGCAGGCACTCCAGGAAAGGCCTAGAGCCCCTTTTCTACAGCTTGTCCTATTTGCACCTTCTCTAAGGGAGAGTAGAGAGAACAGCCGTAACAACGCTCAGGGGCCAGGCAGCTCTGAAAATGGCCCGACAGGGAAGGATCTCACTGCCACCGTCCATGTCACAGAACAGCTTACCTCCCTTTCTGAGGCAGGAGACCCCAGCCTCCCAGCTAGCCAGTTACACCAGCAGCAGGGAATCCTCCCAATCTCCCCGACAATCTGCTTACCATGAGCCTGTGATTAACCTCATTAACACATGTGTTTACCACAGGCATCATTAGCAGTCAGTCAGACGTTACTCAACACCATTAAAAACAACAACTATTAGCCTGTTGGGCGCACCCAGCCTGGCGTGCCCTTGCTCTGGGTCCACAGGAGCAGTTAGTCACCTTGGTCATGAGCTCAACACACTGGAAACCCGATACGCATTCGGAGCCCTGCTTCTCAGGTGCCTGGGGGATTATGCTCTGGGGCCAGCCATCCGACGACGGCAGTCCGGGGAGTGTAAACTTGCTGGCCATTCCTCCAGGAAGAGATTCCTGGTGCTTGGGAGCAGGGAAGAATAGACGACTTCTAGAAACCTAAGCAGCAGAGCCCTGAATTGGGAAAATGAAAATAGCAACTCCCCGTCCCTCAGCTGCCTCCCAGAAACTAATTAATGCTGTGGATCTGGCTTGCTAATTATTTTCAAAATCGCCACCGGTCCCGAGGGGTCCCACTAAAGACCCACGACCTCCTGGAAGTCTGTCTTTCCTGGAATACTGCCTTCCCACCCCCTCCTGGGAAGGGTTATGTCGTTCAGTCGGCTCCCCTTATTGAAGCTCAGGGTAGTCCCAGATTAGTGCAAGGTGTTGGTCTCAACCCTGGGAGCGTCAATTTCATGAGCCTAGGAGTCCTCCCTGGCAGACGGCACTGGCCACAGGGCCCTCCATCCGGGGCTCAGAGCCCCAAGGGGAGGGGCATGGGCAGGATTTAAGCAGTCTGTGGATTTGGATAGGAAAAATCTTCATTCTTCTTCCTTCTCACCTCTAACTGAAAATTCATATACCCATTGATGATGAGCGCAGACACTCAGCCACAACAGTATCGGCTCTACCCGTGATTTTGTCCCCATAGAAATCACAGGTATTTCCGTATCACATTTCAGTTATTTGAAATATCATTTTTACTCATCATTAACTCAAAATGATGGAACTTAGTAGACTTACAACAAAGTACTTTTATTTAATGTATTATTGTGAAGCATGTACACTAATTTATTACAAATTGATAATCTACTGATAGCTGTATTTTGATCTCATTGATTTCCTTTGTAATCCTATTTTATCTTACTTATACATTCATTTAAAATGTGATCTGAGAAAGGGTTCAGGATTTTATCATACTTCCAGAGGTGTTTGTGACAAAAACAAAGCATCTTCAAAGTCAGAC